TGGTAGAGCACAGCTAGCCTATTGCGTAGCTTTGTGCTTGATTACAAACAAACAAACAAACAAACAATCATACAGTTATTTTGAGGCCGATAATGGCCTGACGTTGTGGTTTACTGTTTCTAAAAACAATCTAAGTTTCAGTTTCTCTTCACTAATTCAATTTGTATACAATATTTTGGTTATTTATTTTTGCAATTTTTATAACAGTGTGATAGCTTCTGTTTTTGTGTTTATTGTTATTATTTTTTGTGCTGTTTGAAAGGTTATCGACTTTTAATACAAAAACAACTTCCTGATGCTTTACCTGAATTTTCGCGAAACTAAATTTCAGTTTCTGTGAAGATCCGTGCGCGTCTTTCAAAGTTGTCTCAGGTAAGTATATCTGACTTGAAAGTGATGAGAAAGTAATTCTTAAACATCAAAGCTATGTTAGAAATATGTAGGACTATTGTTTGGTTAAACATCAAAGCTATGTTAGAAATATGTAGGACTATTGTTTGGTTAAACATCAAAGCTATGTTAGAAATATCTAGGACTATTGTTTAGTTAAACATCAAAGCTATGTTAGGAATATGTAGGACAATTGTTTGGTTAAACATCAAAGCTATGTTAGGAATATGTAGGACTATTGTTTGGTTAAACATCAAAGCTATGTTAGGAATATGTAGGACTATTGGTTTGTTAAACATCAAAGCTATGTTAGAAATATGTAGGACTATTGTTTTTCTAACATAGCTTTGATGTTTAACAATATTTCTAACATAGCTTTGATGTTTAACCAAACAATAGTCCTACATACTAGGACTATTGTTTGGTTAAACATCAAAGCTATGTTAGGACTATTGGTTTGTACGACTAATAAACGTAGGACCAATGAAACGTGTGAATATTTATCATAGGAGTATGATAAGATCAGTTCACCATAGGACCATGGAGCTGTTGGAATATCAACATGGAGTCTTGGCGAATGTTATCACAGAGAATATTGTAATTGTGTTTATATGTTTCAAGATATAATTGATTAAATGTTCATCACAAAAAAATTTAAAAAATTAACTTACACGGTCTAACAGAATATATGCATTATTTCCTATTTTTGATTAGAAATGTATTTTTGAATTCTATTACGATACCAGCAGGCAAAGCGTTGGTATTACTTAAATATTATATCTTATTAGTAAAGTTAAGACTGTTTGGTGTAGGATCAAAAGTAAACATGTAGACTGCTATGCTGGTACAAAGATGGCGTTTTTTTCTTTACAAAAGCTTTGAATTAAAACAAGTTAATCATTTCTAAAATGTATGTTAAATTAAAATTTTAGACATTGCAACAAATGTGACATACGAAATATCAAACCTTTAACATAATTTCAAAAAGTTTAATAAAAGTCTTTACGTGTAGATTTAAACGGAATTCTATTTCGATATATCGATATATTATGATATAAAGGAATATGGACTTTATGGTAGTAAAGTTGGGTTTGAAGAAAGTATTCGCTCGGCATTGTTATTTAAAACTCACTTTTAACTTCCAACTTGAAACAATGTCAATCAGTTTGGTGTATTGTTAGAATAACGAAACATGTCAAAGGCGGTGGAACATATTTTTACTTATTTACTACGTTAACCGTGACAACTGAATTCCATCAGCGACTTTCAAGAATAGTTACACACAAGTCTCTATTCCATATTCAAATGAGCACTTCGTCACCGGTTTAAAATTGGAGGCACATGCCCTATTTGCCTTTCTGTCTCCTATGCATTATATAGAATAACTTGCTTACTTGTTAAGGTGTAGCTATCTGCCTGTCGTAAAGTTTTAACGACAAACGTCTGAGTAACACAACTTTTTTTGTTGTTATATTTCGCTATGACTGGGTACAAAAATTCTTATGGTCACAATTTTTTCACACTTTTTGATGTAACAAACAGTATATCCCTGTGAATTGTTTCGCAAGTTTCAACTCCGATTGAACCACGCGTTTTTTAGTAGAGACGGGAAAAAATGCGTAATATACTCTAGAGTGGTATGATAAGACAAAAGTATTTACTAATTGCAAAGAAAAAGTATTATTCGTTTGCATCATACTGTATAGTTATGTTACATATGTAATGAATGAACGTAACGTAACGTAGAGTATATCAAAAGATCCCAAGTTAGTGTATGCTGTTGACTATTTTTTTTTTCTGTTCTGGTAACATTATGTTAGTTTTGATTGTTTTTCATGTTCTTAAGAATTATTTTGTTTAACTTTCTACTGTCAGCAGTTTTTCTGTTTTTGACATCACCATTAAGTTGTATTCGTTTATAGATGAGTCCCGGAGTATCTCAGCTCTTTGTAACCACAGCTGAAACATCTAAACTGTTTACACTGTTGAATGACAATGTTCGCCTACTTTTGTTGTGAACGTTAGTTAATGTTGATTTTGTTGCGTGAGATGGAAAGAAAGAGCAGGAAGGTTAGCGAAGAAATCAGCTCATTGTGCTAGTGATAACAGATGATGTATAGTTCTGGAGTCCAAGGTCTTGTGAAAACTCTGCACAATAAGCATAGATACAGCTGGAAATACTGATGGATATTATGCACATTAACTGACATTTGTTTTCTTTCGCAAATGACAAAGTAGATACAGCTGATGGTTTATTTAATAACATTCTAAATCCGTTTTTTCGGAATTATAACATGCTGATGAGATACTAGAGAATTAACATGTTAAACTTTCATATTTTACATAGCCTGTATAATGGACGAAAATTGATTAAAAAACGTACATGGACGGTGCAAATAATTCACATACTTGTACATATAAGAAAGTAAAATAGGGTTCTGAATTTGAATATAAAACGCATGATTCTTCATCCAGGTTATAATTTCTGCTTGGAAAACAATCTGTGTTATCAGTAGGTCTTTGGCCTGATTTAAGCTTGAGCTATGTAGTAGTTGCGTAATATGTATATTACATATGACTATTTTTTCGTCTTCCTAGCGTAAACAGACTCCAAGTTGTTCCGCATTATAAATAAGATATTAAATACAAATAAGTATAAGCTATATTTTCACAAAACGATCAACGTTATTAGACGTAAACATATACATTTCAATATATGCATATTAATTTGTTGTCTAATCCTTTTCCAATATTTCATCGTTTTTTTTTGTTCTATTTTTCATAGTGAATTCACGTATGCTGACTGAACTTGTGTACACACACACACACACACACACACACACACACACACACACACACATATATATATGTCCAATTTATGTATTACGGCGAAATATAATGTGGACGTTAGTTTTCCGATATAAAAGCGGAATACAGAGTGATCATGTTTCACTTATTGTTTCGCTTTCTTACGAGTAACTAATTTTTAACAGATGGCGTTAGTGACACTGGGATAAAATACTTTTATGTCAGGATAGAAAAACAAACAAAAGGTTTGGTGAATCATATTTAAACAAGAGGGAACCCTCAATAGCCGTGGCACTTGAGATTCTTTTAGGCAGAATTAGAGTAAATTAATCTATGAGACTTTTTCTTTTCTTCCTTTTTTATTAGCAATACAAGCGTGGGGCACACGTTTAACCGATTCGATTTTATTAATCATCAGGATCTCTACCAGCCTACCCTCAAATTGAAATTATTTTAGGCAGGGTTAGAGTAAGTTAATCTATGAGGCATTGGGCGTGGTCAAATACATCAATCCGTAATTAGATCTCGAATTGGTCAAGAGATGACGGAGCTATGGGCCAAAAGTTTCTACTTGGGGGGGGGGGACAACAACTCGGAGACGTTCTATGAGCCGCTGCTAAAAACCGACGAGATCCTAGCACTGTCGAAAACTTTATAACGTTTCATTGTGTGTTTGTTCCTTTTTTTAATATGTAGAATGTTATTATTTTGTCACAGTATTATATATCGTTTATACTTCATTGTACGTGTCGTAAATAAACACCTAAAGGATCAATGAAAATAAAAGTTCGGAGCTTATTGCCTAGCCTCGCATTAGACATAGTTAAAGTTAAAGGTTGCTTCTTCTGGCATAATTTTAACAGTAGAAAAGTTTTTATAGAAGAATTTTATCAGATACCTTGCCTTCTGGACCTCTGTTTTTGTAGCTAGTTTGAACAGAATGGTATAGTAATGACGTGTCGTCGTTCTACCATGACTATTTCCAGTTGCAATTTATTGTTGTTCCTACGGGGTTAGAAACAGAGGGGTTAAATTTACATACTTTTATAACACCCCATGGTTTAATTCTTAACGATTTAAATTATGCTCATTTTCTTATGACATTTTTTTGTTGTATACCCTAACACTTTTTTTTTGTTAAATAAGAAGCTAGATATAATGAAAATTAATTCAGTAATAAATTCAACGTTGTCGTCAAAATACTGTTTATACTCTCTAAGCTTACAGGAATTTTTTAATAGTACCCAAGCCAGATAAATTTGCCCACTCCCGGTGACTCAGCAACATTTCTGAGGGCTTACAACGCTAAAACTTAAGGCTCGATCCCCGCAGTTGGCACAGTACAAATAGTTCATTGTAAACTTTATATTGCATATTCTCTCAAGTTTAAAAGAGATGTGTGTTAGTGGGATACTTCTAATACTTACTTGTTAAGCAATATTTTTATCGTGGAAAACTGTCTAGTGGCTTATTATTTTTTGGCGTGATAACTTTGCAAGCGGGCCTGATATGGCCTGGTGGTAAGGGCGCTCGACTCGCAATATAAGGTCCACGGGTTGGAATCCCCGTCGCCGAACATGCTGTACTTTTTAATTGTGGGAGCGTTATAATGTTACGCTTAATCCAACTATTCATTGGTAAAAGAGCAGCTCACGAGTTGGCGGTATTGACTAGTTTTCTTCCCTTTAGTTTTTAACAGCTAAATTAGGGACGGCTACATGGGGAGGAGTTGGGCGCCACCAGGGGTAAATGTACCCGAGAATCACCGATGATGCATCAACATCTAAGGTGTCCAACGGTCGTGCTCGGGACGCAAAAAATTGTATTCTATGACATGAATAATTTTACACAAAGTATATAATAAGACTGATGTGTCGCTAAAAAATATATTATTGTTTGTTTTGGGAATTTTACACAAAGTATCTAATAAGACTGATCTGTCGCTAAAAAATATATTATTGTTTGTTTTGGGAATTTTACGCAAAGCTACTCCAGGGCTATTAGCTGTCCCTAATATAGAAGTGATAGATTAGAGGGAATACAGTTAATCAACACCACCAACCGTCAACTCTTGGGCTGCTCTTTAACCAACGAATAGTGGTATTGACCATACCATTAAAACGTCCCCACAGCTGAAAGGACGAGCGTATTCGGTGACGGGATTCGAATTGGAGATACACTGATAGCGAGTCGAGCACCTTAATAATCAAGCTATGCCAGGCTCGCTAAATATATATATATATATATATATTCGTTGTTTTAGTGAAATATTAAATCTAGACAGTTAATCCAGTCATGTAACACGTATAAAATCACTGCAGGTTTTTGTAACAGTTTTCAAAAGCCAAGGTGTCAGTCCTTTTAGAAGTTTTATTTCTAAATACATTCAGTAATTTTAAAAATGCCACCTGTGATATAAATAAAATATATCTTTAACATTAAAAAATAAACTTTTTATTTTCCTAAATACTTTTGTCTTTAATATATTGAACACTTAAGACTCTTAAATATTTTAAATAAAAAAGGCATTTATTATTTTAATCTTGTAATAAAATGTTATGCAAGTATACCAGACTGCTGCGGTCGTTTTTTAATTATCTGACCAGTTATTTATCTTCCATTTAGATTGCAACATTAAATATGCTGTTGTAATCAACTGTGCGAATTCAGATATTTGCCGTATAGTGATATGTGACTTGAAAACCTGGATCACAAATTCATCGAGTTATCTGTCACGGAAGGAACACGTTTATGCCTTAGTGTTTTTGGTGTGATGGCCTATATTTATGAAGGAGAGTGTAACAGGGTTTTACACGGTGAAAATCCCCGCTTTTAATACACTGAGGGTTAGGGGGGAGGTAAATGAAAATATATGTGTTATTTTACATTAACAGAATTTGCTTATAAAGTTCTCATAAATTGTACATTATACTTAAAATATTATTATGGGTGATGGTTTTTTTATATTACAAATTGGTTGAATGAAATGAAAGCTTGGTTTAAACAACAATGCAAAGTTGTAATCAAGGAAAAAACATTTGTTCTACATAATTTTGGATTTCCGTTTGTCTTGTCCGGCAGCTAACATTTTGTGTTGATGACTGGATTATTTTGAAAGTTTCTCGAAGTGTACAGTAACCAGTTGCTTTATAAAAGCATCTTTATAATTCAAGACAAGATTCATTGTCAAAGTTGGTATTATTATTATTATTTGTATTTTCAACCTGAACAATGCTTTACGCAATGGGCTAAACAGAAATATCAGATACTCCTAGGGTTCAGGCATAGCCGTTCCCTAATTTCTAATTAAGAACCAGAGGAAAGACAGGCAGGCAGCATCACCCGCCGTCACGAGGGTTTTATTCGGTTCTAAAATTGAATAATAGGATTGATCTGGCACTTTTATGACACGCCCACAACTGCACATGTTACCCTATCCACTATCCAGCCTGAAAAAGTTTGGCTTGTGTTACTATTGGCTACTATCCAGCCTGATAAATTTTGGCACGTGTTACTATATTCACTATTAAGCCTGATAAATCTTGTATCTCAAGGTTAAAGATATTGATTAGAAAATGTCAGCTGTAGGAAATATTTTATTTACAACTCATCATCAATACTCCAAAGATTGATATCAAATTAAGATTTTTTCTACATCTGGTTTCCTATTTTTATTTTAATGGATCTTCTTTTCTTAGGAGAGATGCTGGTGATCCAAAGGAAAACCTTTCCAAGTCTCTGTAATTTACATTTTTTCACAAAAGGTATAAAACCACAAGATATAGACCTGTAAAATCTAGAAGTAAAAATTTCCTCTATTGTATTCTATTATACGTACACGTTTAAAAATGAATGCATCATTGTTATTGTAAAATTATAATTTTAACTATTTGTCTTTAAAGTCTACCCTTTCTCTTTAATAACTAGTATAAAAATTAACTTTATTGTTAGTTAGGTACTTATGTTGTGGTTGCTTGTATTTGATTTGATTCAGGAATTATGGTTAAAGTTTAACATACATTTAGTTTAAGTATTGCTGTGGGTATATTTGTGGAAGTTGTTTGTATGGTGTACATGTATTTTTAACGTTACATACGTTGGCAAGTCTATCGCCGGAAGGTAAACAAACGGGTTTTTCCCCCTCATCACGAGCAACAAAGTGGGAAAACTGGGTTTGCCTTGACCAGGTCGACAGCTTGAGCTCGGGGAATGACGTATGCTCGGAGTAGTGAAACTTACCATCGGTGAGACACTGGTGTTTTACTGATTTTTAAAGTTTTTTTGTTTGTTTCGTTTTTCACTTTTCAAAGTCACGAGATTTTTTTATTTAAATTTAATAATTCATTAAAGCGATGTTCATTTGTTATTTTTAGTAGATTAGTTTATAAGTTAAAATAATTTAAACTTGGATTTAAGATTACTGAAACTTCAGTTATAAAAATTATTTGTCAGGATGCTCACAATCCTGTCATCAAACATGCTCATCCTTTCAGCCGTGGGGGCGTTATAATGTTGTGGTTAATTATACTCTTCATTGTTAAAAGAGTAACCCAAGAAATGACTAGCTGCCCTCCCTTTAGTCTTTCACCGCTAAATTAGGGACAGCTAGCACAGGTAGTCATCGAATAGCTTTGCACAAAATTCAACCAAACAAACAAACTAGGATGCTCACTTTAAAAAAAAATCCTATTTTCAACTGTAATATTGGTTTGAACTAACATTAGAGGTAGAATTTTATCTCAAGATTTAACAATCTTTCGCTTCGGGCTTAATTCAAAATAGACTATTATGTATGAGGATAGGAGAGTTTGTGTTTCTTTCACACATCTTTAGTGAAAGGTAGTAATATTCTCTTCACATGGAAATAAGCAAGAAAAGATACAGTAATTATATAAGATAATATCATACCAATACAACTGGGTGCTCCTTGTGAAGCCAGATCTACCTGTCGAAAGCGTGAGTGGTTTATCGTTTTTTTTAAACGTTATTTACTAATATTTTTACCGCATGTGTTTTAACTTTCGTGATAACACAAATATTGTAAGTAGAAATATAGTCTAACTGCTCAATGACATCAACGTTTCATCATTATAATTTAGTAATTATTTGTGAACTTCTAGAGATGTTAGCACTTCAGAAATTTTTGCAGAGGAGGGGAGGATTCTACGTTAGATATATCATGAAGTTACGATTGAAGTTACTCAATGTATTTACCAAAGAATGTTAAGTTTTTTAGTTCAACCTGATCGCTAACATAAGCGTAAATAGCTCCTAAATTTCGGCATTTTGCTGCTATTTAAAAGTCTGTAAAGGAGGGAGTTCCGATACAGACCCTAAGAAATTGAAAATATCCATTTTAAAAACTTCAGACGCACTACCAACCGAAGCCCCCACATCACCTAGCACCATCTCGTTACACAAGACACCGTTCCGTCGACTAATCAACCAGAGCCCAATCCAGCTAAACAACGACCAGAGTGTACACAGATTCACGTCATCTCTTCACCCAGCCAGCCTGTTCTAGTCTCCAAGCATCACCAGTAGCCACGTGTACTTCAACCCGAGAAAACTAATATGTCTTTTACCACAGCATTTTCCGGCACGGTCAATGTATTTAATTCGGCGCCTTGGCCGTGAATATGGGTTTTCTCGGGTACTTCCGTCCCCCCCCTCCCACACACAGCAAAATGTTTTCCTTATGCTTTGGATCCCTAGATCCCAGCCCTGAAAAGGACCATCTCAGGCTAAATATAATAGTACATTTCTCTGCTAATGTTAAAATACTAAAATCCTGATCCTCAATTGCTAGCTAATATTATTTAATCAGTCTACTCTCTACATTTAAGACAACAACGGACGCACTCGATCTGCATCTCCCTGCTCTGCTCTACACCAGTGGTCCCCAACTTTTTTGTTGCCGCGGACCGGTAAGCGCTAGACAATTTTACCGCGGCCCGGGGGTAGAATGTTTACTTGCAGTTTACAAGTAGCATCGTACCAACAACATAACATGAAAATAAAAGCCTCGAAATAATAATAGATATATCATTAAAAAGTTTACATTAAAAATTTACTTTAAACATTCCTTTCAAAATAAAATACAGATACACCAGAAAAACGAATATAAAGTGCATGAACGTTTTAACTTACTAGAACACCAAGTCAATGAGAACTTTGAGCTTGTTTCTTTGCAATCAGACGGTCCCATCTGGGAGCAATAGGAGACAATGACACCCGAAGTGTGTTGCTTATGTCTAGTTTATTCCGATATTTTATTTTAGTTGCTGTTACTGCAGAAAACCCCGCCTCACACAGATAAGTTGTCGAAAATGGCAACAAGGCTTTAAGTACTGTGGTGGCGATCTTAGGGTATTCTGTCAAGACTTTATTCCAGAACACCGGCAGAGTTGTTATTTCAAACGTACTTTTCAGGTCGCCATCATTTGCGATCTCAAGCAGTTGATCTTCTTCTTCCATGGATAAACTAGATTCGCCTGGCTTGTTGACAAATGGGTCTCGAATCCATTCCTTACCAGTTCGTGGGTCTTTTGTCGTTGGAAAATAACGCTCGAACTCTTTTGAAAGCAAGGACAGATGATCGTGCACCAACCGGAAGAATGAAGGCTTAGGATTAGTATCACCAAAAATAACTGCCAATGTTTGAAACATGTCCAAAATGCCTTTGTTCACGCGTTGTCCCCACAATTCCAGTTTAGCTTTAAATGCGGCTATTTTATCTGCTAACTTGAAAATAGTTATCATTTTCCCTGAAGGGACAAATTGAGCTCATTGAGCAGGTTGAATATATCACACAAATATGCCAGTTTTGCGAGCCGTACTTTGTCACAGAAATGTGCTGCCAGTGGTGACCTCTTTTCTGAAAACCCCCTTTTCAATGGCTCTCGTAATTCAAACACCCTGTTTAGCGATTTTCCTCGGGATAACCATCTTATTTCTGTGTGCAAGAGAAGGCATCTGTGCTCTGCATCCATCTCCTCACAAAGCTGCTCAAATAGGTACGAGTTACGGGCGTGTGCTTTGATGTGGTTAATAGCTTTAACAACATCATTCAATACACTATTAAATTCCGGTGACATTTTTCGGCTTGCCAACATTTCCCTATGAAGGATACAATGAGTGGATTCACTGTCAGGTGCAACTTCCTTAATCCGAGTAGTTAAGTCAGCCAGTCGTCCAGTCATGGCAGCAGCTCCGTCTGTGCATATGCCGACACAAAAGGTCCATTTCAGTTGTCCAGACATATAACCAAACCATCCAGTGACTTGAACAGTTCTATTCCTGTGGTGCTAGTTGGTAAAGATAATACACATAACAAATCCTCATGCACATCCTCCTGATAAAGATATCGCACATAAACAAGTAGCATTGCCTTCTTGTCAATATCTGTAGATTCGTCAACCTGGAGTGCGTACCACGGTGATGTATTGATCCTTTCCAACAATTGTGCCTCAATGTCTTCAGCTATTTCCTCAATGCGCCTAGTCACGGTGCTAGCCGACAAAGGCACATGTGCCATCTTTTTGGCAGCATCCTCTCCTAGCATTTTACGGCAAATATCTTTAGTGGATAGATTAATTTTTCACCGATAGTAAATGGCTTTTTAGTCTTAGCAATGCGGTTAGCTACCAAGTATGATGCTCTCAGTGCATTCACATTTATTGATGTGGTGGCCCTCAAAATTTTCTTCTGTGCTTCGTGTCCACGTTTTCTTATTTCAAAATACTCCATTGGCTTGTGTTTTAATTCCGAAGTTTGGTGTTCAAGTAGCGAAGTAGTTTTGAAAGTTTTATTGCCTCATTAGAAAGCCGGTTATCGCATATTATGCAGAGCGAGATTTGTGCGTGGGAATCACCAGTAACGATAAATCCATATTTCAAATAGGACTCATTGTATTGCCTGTTAAAAACTTTCTGTTTCTTTGATGGTGGAGGCTCTTCTTCCGACTCTTCATTGGGCCTTTTTCTCTTCCCATGTGACCTTAACAATGAGTCACGCGCTGGCTTTGAAATACAATAACGTTCGCACGAGTTTTGGCATTCTTGTAACACTAGACCCACTTGCTTCATTCGTCCATTATTGGATTAATAGAGTAAATTTTTGTGCTTAACATGAAACATGATTATTTCTTGCATGCACTTTTATTGTTCATATTATATGTACAGTATTGTTTATTTTTTAATTGCACCTTTTCTTTTTAAAAAATGAACCTAAAGCAGGCATTTTTGGGAGTGGAACGGGATATTAATTTCAATGTGAAATGTTGCTTCGTAATACGAGCTCGGTCTGGTAACGATTTAAACTCGTACTGCGAGGTTATACTGTATTTCCATTCATTTACTCTCTGAGTTTACATTTTTTATTTTCCGGATTACATCTAGATTCTTTGAACGCTTGAATTTAACCCACAAATTAGCGAAAATGAGTACGAAACAGACGTCATTAGAAAGTTTCCACCGAAGGCAGCCAACCGCTGTTGAGCAATCACAACACGAGTCACAAGACACACAAACACACTTACAACACTAGTGACTAAGTTTACAAAGCGTACAAACTGAGATAAAGAGCTTTAAAAACTGCGCACATGTATGCAAACTATATTTCTAAACTGTATTTCTTGCGCGGCCCGGTACCAATTGGTCTACGGACCGGCACCGGTCCGCGGCCCACCGGTTGGGGACCACTGACTTAGAGTACTACTTGTTAGTTCGTTTTTAACGCTAGGGTGGTGAACTATATAAAAGAT